TCTTCCGATTATCTTCATCCGCTTCGACCGGCAGCGAACATGTCCTCGCTAGCGACGCAGCAGGAGGTGGGAAGTCCTTCTCCGTCGGAAAGATGGAGAGCGCCGCGATGGAAGAAGACCGAACAAGCCTTTTCTCACTCTGTCCCACGGCGAAGCATCCGCCAAGTGAGAGACCGAGGCAGAGATCCATCTCACTAGAAGCTGACGTGGATAACAAAACAGAATCTGACAACGGGAGCGGATGTTTCTCACTACAGCTTGTTCCGGCAAGTCGCCGGAGGAGGTCGCGAGGACATGGCAGCTCATCCACTTCAACCTCAGCGACCTCTATATCCATCAAGCCAGAAAAAATAGATTGTAAAAAAAACAAACTTTAATGAATAATAAGGAGGGAGGATAGAAAAAAGGGAACTTTAGCCGGGATCCGGCCAATAATCGCCGGAGAAGACGAGGGAAAGTGGAGGGGAAGAGACCCAGAGGTCGGAAATCAGAAAGGAGTGATTTTCTTATGACGAAAGGTATGAAATGACGGACATACCCTCTAAGGCGAGGACGTGTTTAGATCTTGGGAGGAGGACACGTGGCTGAAATTGGAGAACGGTAACGGCATCGCGTCCTCGCTACGGGACCCTAGCGGGGAGAGGTGGGTCCATCCTGCCTCAAGACACGTGGAAGACTGGTAGAATTGGACACGTGGCCTTCATCGTGCCACTTTCCTCAAATTTTGGCATACCGGTTTCACCACACTGAGTGGGGCCCAGTGTCGTCAAAATTTTTTCGGTCATCTTAAATTGGGCAGCACGCCTCCTAAGGATCTTAGCTTAGCAGTTGAGAATTATGATGCAGAGCAGCGTCTTCGTCGAAGGGGTCTTCATTCATTTTGACCATGTACACATATTGTTTAGGACTTCCTCATTAATTTGATATATATATATATATATATATATATATCCTAAACAATATGTAATATTCAAAATAAATATATATATATTGCTTTTTTGGAATTGAATTATAAAAAAATAAAATAAGTTATTACAACCTACATAAAACTTTTGATGAATAAATAAAAATTTAACAATTCAATATTTACTCTTATGTCTCATTGTGGTTCTTATAGTGTTCTTTATTTTGCACTTTTTATCATAACGAATTTGGGATAGATAGTAAATAAACCTTATGAATAATGCTTCTCGTAAGAGTAAGGGTGTACATGAGTCCAACATGAGCGAGCTTAGGATTTGTTCGTATTCGATTTGTTTGCATTAATACATTTTTTTTAAAATCGGTTAATATTTGAATTACTCTTGTAACGACTATGTTCGTGCTTGACTCAATATTTCACAGATTTGCTCTTGATTGGCTTGAAGCAATGCTTGTTAGTTTGTTTGATCGAATTTGGTTCAAATCGGCTCAAGCTCAACTCATGAACTAACTCAATACAAACTCAAATTTATCATAACAAGAGATGCATTCTTTGATTTTTTTAAATATAAATCTCTATAAGTAATCAATCCATATATCAAACAATCAATAAATTTTTTTCAAAGCCTCGATTAAACATTAAAAAAAAATAATTATGTAAGATGAAATACCACAGATTCATAAGTTGAAGAAACTCATCATCATTTGCTCACAATAGTGGCGAATCCATCTACAAATCAAAATACTTAGCAAGCAAACCTTTGAAGGCATTTGGTTTGCTTCATTACTCATTGAAAACATATATAGTCATCACTCAAACAATAGTACCAAACTCATTTAATTATTAAAAAATTAAAACTTGTGATGAAACAAACCTTGAGGAAAAAAAAAAAAACGGACTTTGGTACTACGTTATAAATAGAGTTCTTTACTACCTTCTATCTAATATGAACATATATACCAATCTTCAATAAGTATTTTATCCAAACAATATTAACAATGATAGTCTTCATTTGAAACTTTTATTTTTTGAATATATCATAAGATGTAGTCACTTCATTCCATAGCTTTTTGAGCTCATCAACAAGTGATTTTATGAAAACATGATTTTTCGCACTACTATTAGGACCTAAAAATATTTATATTAAAGATTATTTCATTCATATAGATGGAGTTAAGTTCCATATAACCACAAGTACTAGCCAACCTGCACATGAAGCGCTATACTGCCCGAAAGGATTGAATTTATTTGTACATATAGGAAGTGTACGTTAGCACTCCTTTAATGTTATTCTTTATTCAAAATTGATGGACCTTATGCAACTCACACTATATAGATATAATAAATAAGTTCAAATACAACTCAAGATATTGAGTTTAAATATGAGTAATAACTTAGCTTAAATTTATACTTGTTGTTGCATTTGAATTTGTCATGTGAATCACACTCAAGGAATATGATGTGGAATAAGAGAGAGAGAGAGAGAGAGAGAGAGAGAGAGAGAGAGAGAGAGAGAGAGAGAGAGAGAGAGAGAGAGAGAGAGAGAGAGAGAGAGAGAGAGAGAGAGAGAGAGAGAGAGAGAGAGAGAGAGAGAGATGAGCACACAATAACTTGTCCCTCTGAGGTATACTGGGACATTCTCGGACTCAAGTGACTCTTTTTATATCATTAAAAGTAGAAGTTACAAGGAGTCCAAGTAGGCATAATACATGAATGATCTCTCTTATTTATAAATTATATGAGGGCCATACATAAAAATTGCATTTATGCCCTTCATTAAGAGATGATTGTACAAAATATTCTAGTCATTTTGCATCTCAGCGTCTGTCGCTCGGCAACCTTTCGGTTAGATGGGCTTCCCTACCACCCGCTGGCTGGCCTTTGATTATTTGATTGGCCTTTAGTGGTAGCTATTTGATCGGTTGTAATTTTCTTTGGTTGGCTGGCAACCTTTTAGATGCATCTACTGCAATATTTGGTCGGTTGGATGGCTCAAGCGGCTGAGTTGGCCTTTTTGTATCCTTATCTCTTCCAATTCAACATGAGCATATTTTAGTGTACATTTGTATAAATGAAATGTAATGTTATTATTTTTATCAAAACTTTGGTCAGTTTGTCGAACATCTGCTTGTCAGTTATAAATTCTCTTTGGTCTTGGGTTCGATTCCCCTGATGGAGGGTGTGGTACTTGAATTTTTAGGCGCATCAGGGATGACCGTACTCGTACAATAGCCACAGACCATTTCTTTTTTTAAGAATATATATTTATATATATATATATATATATAGAAATAGAAGAAAAAAAGAGGAGCGCATGCATCTCCAAGTGGCAGCATGAGGACACGATTCCGACTTGCTTTAACTTTAAATTTGGTTTGATAATTGATTGACAGAAAAGATTAGCAGGCAAGTGGATCGCAAAAGTGGGGCCTCCATTTAAAGATTTGGGCCAGCCTACCCTTTTTAGTTTTTTCTCCAAAGAATATGCGGGCCCCACCCTTCAGACTGTCCGACACGTACCCGTTCATCATTTGACGTCAACATCTCATGTGGACCCCACAACTATCCTTCGTGGCACCAACTCAGCTGTAATCAGTTACAACTTTTACTTGCTGTTGACTCCTGAATATGAATCCAGTTCATAATCTATGCTCACATATACTCGTTTCATTTACACATGCACCCACTCAATTCCTATGTATTGACATATCTAACACCAAGACTTCATCAATTTTTACATCTATACCATTTTACCCATTGATGAAAAAACATATTTTACTTTTTTAAATTATCCTCTATGTGATATGAAACATGTAAAGAAGCAAAATTTAGATGGACAATAATTGTGAGGCATCTAAGATTATTTTATATTGACAAACAATTAATATTTTGGGCCAATAAATATGCAAATGGAAACAAATGAGAATATAAATAGAATAAGAGAGAAATCCAATGTAGATTCTTCATTTACTTTAAAAAATGATATTCTAGATATTCTCATTAAAATTTAGACAAAATAAGTTTTATATTAATCTTGTATTTTGGAATGAATCTATTATAGTATTAGTTAATCATTTTTTATTTTATTTTTTTTCTTATAAAATAGTTAAAACAAATATTGGCCCAGACAGCCCGAGTTGATTATGACTTACAATTTTTGGATTCAATTGACCCCATAATTATCTAGGGCAAAATTATTGATCTTAATATTATTGTGTCAGATTTGACTTGACCAAAAATTCTCAAAATTAACCGATTAACTATTAAAAAATTTAGGCTATATGAGTTTTTATTAATCAAATTAACTAAGTCATGCTCGAATAAATTGTAATAAAAGTTGGTTGATTAATTTAATGAATGGGTTAGACAATCATGCTCAAATTAAACATATTTGAATCGGGTAGACTTTAAGTTGAATACGAATATACTTCATCAACCCAAATGAACACTCCTATTTTCGAAGTATAAATCAATATCTTCTAATCTAAATTATTGAGTTTTCTTGCCCGTATGAGTAGGTCTAAGTAGTTTGGATTTGTTTAATATAATATTCTCTAATAACAAAGTAATTATATTTAATTGTGATATAATGTGTTCCCATCATAAAGTCATCCCTCTACGTCTAATTAATTAATTTCATTGGCATGATCTCTTCTATAAATAAGGATTGAACACGTATCAAATCCAAGATCATTGAAACAAATATTAATAATAAATAAATAAATAAAAATCCGAGTATCAGTCTACTTCTATAATATATATATATATAAAAAAATTTGTATATATAAATAAATATACTCTTTTATCAAACTTACTTGCACGGCTATAGACTAATATTTTTGCGCATTGAAGACTTGACAAATAAATGGATCAGCAGTTAAATCTATTTCAACTCAGTTGACTTTTAGTGCTTGCCCATGAGATAATTAAGCCGAACAAAGAAAATGAAGAAATAATTAGATCAGCATAATCGTTTAAAATTTAATCATGATAAATCTTTATATTATTAAAGTGTTTACTTTGAAATAAATAATATACTAAAAGAATAGTGAATTAATTTTTTATATATATTATTTTCATATCAAAATAAATTTTAATAATTTTTAATTTTGAATCATTAAAATGGAAGTTTAGGGGGTTAAACATGTAAATACATAAAAATTGAGTGGTATGTACACAAATGTTTTTTATAAGAAATTAATCAGTCAAATTAGGCAGCATAACTTGACCAGAAGTTTTTCTATCGAATAAAAAAAAAATAGATTTTATTAAGTGGGTTCATGTCATTCAGCTGGCATTTCCAGACACTAATAAATTGACTAATTTAATGTTCTTATGAGCACCCTAACCTTAATATCATTAATTATTACCCAAAATATACTCATGAAATAAGAGATTCATATAAGCTTGCATTAAAAGAAGGGAATTCCAAACTTCATAAAAAATAGATGAAAGTATTTCTTATAATGAATTTTCTCCCTTCAATATATATATAGGGAATCAATAAGCGTGGACGCAACATTGTTGGTGGAGAGGAGAAACAAAAGGAGTCTCATTTATTTTCTATTAGTAAGAGTGTAGTTCTAAAGGGGAAAGAATAGATTGTGTCCACATCATCGCTTGGATTGTGATCTCCGCAATATCTCCCCGATATCTCCATTCAAACTTTTTTTTTTTCTGCATAGTTGCACTAATAACGACAATATCATCACATTCCCTTTCTTCCTTTTTCCCTTTCACCATCTTCTCACTTATTCAATGAAAGGAAGCATAAGTCATCCTATATTGGTTTGGATGGTTTTTTCTTTTATTTTTTATTTTTTTGTATTTCTTTGAAATTATATATACATCTGAGTGGGGCCCCCTCATTTAAGTTTGCCCTCGCGATTTCAAAGTTATATGATGGAAGATAGCTCGTGATTTACTTTTAAGAAAAGAGAATTTATTTTACATTCCTTGCTTCTTAAATCTTTACGTCTTGACTATAGAAGATGAAAGAAGCAAGCACAGCATGGAGGATATAGTAGATGGTTTAGACTACTAAGTAGCGATGAAGAAAATTATTACTCATACAAAGTTCGTTGTTAATTAGTTGTAGTGAAGATGACAAACTTATATTGACCAGACCAATACTTTTAGTGAGTGATCTGTTTAGTTCTCCCACTCAACTTCTATATTGAAATGAATATCCTTCAACTCTCATTATAGCCAACTAGCTAATATTAAGTTAAGATGCATCATAGTCGGTGAAGTGAAATTAGGAATATATTTGTAGATGGAATGGAACAGTACTATATAAGCTCTAGTTATAAATAACAACCTCCTGAAGAGTTTATTTTTGGAAACAATATATTTAACACACGCACATTGCAAAAGGAGCATATTTGTTAAATAAAATTCATGCTAATTACTGTAGAATCTAAAAGATAAATGTAGATGTATGGTTTTATTAATTTATTATAGAGAGATTATTTTAGGGTGAACTAATAACTTTCAAGTAACAATGATGACAAATTAATCACCCATGCAGATTATATGAGACCAACTAGTTATATAATTATGTTCAGGTGTGGATAGAATTGGTGGCCTGGTCAGATTAAGTAGACAGGAAGTTGTGTAGCGCTATGAAGAATGAATAAGAAAACATTCTAGGAACTAGGAAGATGGGCTTAGAAATATCAAACTGCGGCTGTTTTCTGTTAACGGTTTTAATGGCTTTATTTTAAAAATTTGGCTTCAGAATACGAGTTGTAGGTTGTTTGCCAAAAATAATAATAATAATAATAATAATAAACAAATAAAGAATATGAGTTGTAGGCTAGATAGCCATAGGTGTTATGCCAGCCCTACACATATCAATTTAGGGCTGTCAAAAAAACTCGTCTGTGAACAGCTCGTGTTCGGCTCGTTCGTTAAGTAAACAAGTCGATCACGAACAATTTTTTTTAGCTCGAATTATAAACAAGCTGAGCACGAATAGCTATATGTTCGCTCGTGTTCAGCTCGTTTTAGCTCGAAATAAGCAAAAAATTATATAATTATTTATATAATAATATATTATATATATTGATATTTAAGTTTAAATCATAACAGCTCGTGAGGTAATGTAGTTATGTGCCTTATTCTGCATAGATTTGGTTCAGATTCGAATCAAAAACTTCACACCTACCTTTTCCAATTAATTTTAAGGAGCCAATTTCAAGTGGAACACAAAAAGAATATGCACACTGTACACCAGCCAATTTTGAACATGAGCCAATTTCGAATACGAGCAATTTCGAATGAGGCAAACACAATTCAGTCTTGAGTTCGCTCAAGCTCAGCTTGTTTACAGCCCTACCTGTCATAAGAGATTTAAGGTCTGTTTGAGGCAACTGCATCTTATCAATAATCTTCTGATAAGTTGTTGATCCATATAAGCTACTGATCAACAACTAATCTGGATATGCTCGCTAGCTGTTTAGTTTGTGCGTTTAGGAACAGCTGATTTACAACTGTTTCTAGATAAATGACAATTCTGGCATTGTGTAGTAGTGTTATTTGCAAGAGAACTGTCATAACTATATATTTGATAATTTAGAAGCAAAAAATCACTTCATAATTGTACAAAAAAAGAATATACACCTCAAAAGCCCTCTCAATCAAAGAACAATGTAATCGATTTTAATAAATAAATAAAAGAAGTTGCGTGTGGAGATGGATTACTCCTCCAAGAAAGATGCTTCCGTGGCTATGATTTCAAACAGTTATCAATGCTATTGATTTCCAGCCATGGACGCATCTTCTCAGGCATATATACAAGAACAAATGAGCAAAAAATGAAGACATATATACCAGAACAATGCTACTGATTTCTGGTCGTAAAAAATATACAACAAAAGACGATTAATGCTACTGATTCCCAACCATAATAATGCGCAAAATAGCAAACACGGCTACTGATTTCCAAGCTCGATCAACCAAACAAGGTAACAATAATCCCAAAAAAATTTCCACATAAATCCATGAAAAAGGAATATATAGAGGGAGAACCGGTGCAACAAAAAAACCCGCCAAAAAAATTATAGCGTAACATTGCAAGATACAAGTCAGTGGTTACTAGGAGCAACCGAGGGAGAGATGAGGGAGACAAGCGAGGGAGAAGTTACATAGGTCAACAACAGCCATGAGAAAAGTAAGCCTTCAACGCGGAGAAGCAACCGCGTTGGCTCTATAGGAGCAACCAAGGAGAAGCAAGGGAGAACAAGCAAGCCTTCAACAAGGAGAAACAGCTGCAGTTGAATGAAGGAGAGGGGCGCGGGAGGAATTGAACCCTCCAATGCAGATGGGAAGACACGGGCCGCAGGGTTGATTACGCGGTCCGCGTCTACTATAAACGCAAAGTGGAGTTTCCAAATACGTCGAACGAATGCGCGAATCAAATGTCGGGCCGCAGTTTTCAAAACGCCAAACGCAGTTTTAAACGGCGCCAAACAGACCCTTGGGTTCCTGGAGGCGTCGAAAGTCCCATATTTATCCCCTATATTTTATAGGCTTGTCAAAAATAATTAAAAGTCCTATATTTTATATGTAGCTCGCTTTGAAGCACATTGAAAAAAAGAATCAAAATATGATAATTTTTTTTTTCATATTCTGTGTTTCTTCTCCCCCTCTTCCTAATTTCTAGAGTTACCGGCATCTTTGAATTGTGGTTTAACCTTCCAACCTGTGTATTTTCACTATTTCTGCCATACACAATTTTTTAAGTTATCAATATCCCCGAATTACCAATTATCAAAATTCAAGAAATAAGTTTGCGCATCATTTAATCAAAATAATAATAATAATAATAGAAAGTGCAAATAAAACAAATGGGCCTGAAATAAATCTTAAAATTATGACTAGTTTACAACATATTAACATGTGATTCTAGGACCATTTATACCAGTGAAGAACGGGACTCAAACTCCATACCGATGTACTTAATATTATGTTATACACCAAGCAGTTTTATATAGGATTTTGTTTATCGCAAGATCAGGAATAATAATGTCAAATCGGACTAATCCGTGTACGTTGCGTCAGATAGCCACTAAGTCATAAGCTAAAGGCTAAATAATTGAAATTATCAAATGAGCTCTAAGCGTAGAACTTCATTACCATCCCTAAAGCCGTTTATCAACGATCAACTAAACAACATTTGCGGTAATATATTATTTTCGTGAAAACTGTCGGGGAAAATAAGTAAAAACATATGTAACATGCAAAATTAAAAAAAATATTCATTATTTTAAATGATCAATTGTAACATTCGATAAATATTGTAGGCCAGCATTGGGTATTTAGATAAAAAGGACTAGTGGTTCACGTTAGAATAATTATGAACATATTAGAATCGTATAATACTTTAAGAGGTTAGAGAATCACTCCCCTATTTCTTTTGGTGAAGAAAACACATACAGCCTTTTTCCATCAAATAAATAAAACTGGTATGGACAAACAGCACCTTTTTTGCATGCGCGATTGTCGCAGGGCTAAGGCACACATCCTGACCACGATACTTGAACTGACTTCACCCAGAGGAGGCAACTATTCCTGCAAAATATCGATTCATCAAAAATAAATAAAGTCATGGGAGGTCTTATCACAAAATGGTGCGATCCTATGAAAACAACTCCCAAAAAAAAAGGACGGACCTCAAGTCATCTCCCTCTTCAGCTTAACTAATTTAGCTTGAGCTCAAGCAAATCTATGAGTCGGAAATGGCTTATTCATCATGAAAGAAACCATTTCAATATTTTTACATGAGCTGACAAGTCAAGTTGGGTTGGCTCAAATTTGACTCATTAAATTATAAAGCTTTAGCTCATGACCCATTTATCAAGACGAATCCAACCACACTCACAAGTTGCCATAGCTTTAGTTAGAGTCATAATTAGGATCTTACATGTATACATCCAATGAGGACTTGCAAGTATGCTATCAAATTTTTGCATGAGAAAGTTTTTGGTACCAAATAAATATGTAAAGCGTGACCAACTAATTTCTCCGCTAGGTTTCAGATTTCATTTGCATGAGAGTTCATATGTCTGTGCTAAACAAAGCAACAAACCTCATTAGGCATCACTCATCATCACTATCAAAGACGACCGCTTTCCTGCGATGCATTGATGCCTTCCTGGGTGGAGAATCCACATCCGAGTCTATCTCTTTTCGCTTGAGGCTGTTGCCTCTACTTTCCCTAGCATTTCCCCTTGGATCCTGACACCCATGCAAAAACAAGCAATTAGTGACTAAAAAATTAAATGCTTTTCAGGGATCAATCAATGAAGCATGCATATTTAGATTATTGGGTCGATAATGCAGGTTTTGATATTTAAACCTCAGACAAATGAGGTATGCAATTTGAAATATTAAAACCATTGTGATTGTTTCCTTGTCCTTCCTCAATTTAATTTCTATAAGAATTATATGGAACAACAGCATAAATATTTGAAATGTTATATTATCATGATGTATGTTCAGTTATATAGGAAGAAAATTCTGCCCAATAAAAGAAACTAATCTAATTGATAAACAGTTATATTGAGGTTACTACTAGAGCCCTATATTTACAAATTTTAATTGGTTGCCCTTCTCTGGATGATAGGAATTACTATGGCTCAATGTAGTTCCACTCCACCAAGGCAAAACAATTGCTCCGAAAAGAAATTCATAAAAACTAGATCCTTATGAGAGAGAATTACTAGTGGAATACCTTGCAATTTGCATGTGTTAGCGACAAAACCTACGGCCACTGTTATTTCTGAAAAGAGTCAAGTACCAAAATAGTCCTCGACTATTTAGATGGGGTCATTTTAGCCCTCGAGCTTATAAAAGAGCTAAATTAATCCCCAGACTATTTTAATTGGGGCAAAAATAACCCTCTCTGGGCACTATTACAACCCATATTAAAAGAGTCTAGAGGGCTAAATTGACACTTTCATAAATTCTGGGACTATTTTGAGACTTTCCTCTTGCTGAAAATTTACTGTAAAAGGGCACAAAAATGTGCATGCTTGGATATGGCCAATTAATTATGGAACTGAAGACAACAATTCAATTTTTATAACAATGCATTCCATCTTGGATGCGATAAGATGCAAATTTGTCTGGATCATTGTAGTTCAGCTCTAATTTTCTCCATTAAAGTTGGTGTATGCCTTGATTAAGCTATCAAAATATTTGATAAACAGTGTCTCCTTTCTCCCAGTTTAAATTTGCAAGATAAGCAACAGCCATCCAATTGAATGCTCCAGGATTGGGTTCAAGATGTAGTATAAACCAAATAATTTGACTAAAAATTGTCGTTGCTCTAAAATTTCAATGACTTGTTGCATGAGTCCTGTAATGCTTCATTGATCGGTGTGAATGGAAAATTGTATCCTAACATGTATTGGAGCAAACAACTGCTGACCTCAATTTTCGTGAGGTCTAGTATTCCTCGTAGGAGTAAGGATCTAGCCTTAGGGGTCTCCCTGCGACTATCTTAGAACCTTAGAAGTGGTGCCCGCCTCGTTTTAGTTCGACCTATTTCCGTCCTCTTTTGGAGTTTCGCGTGTGCGGTATCGACTTCTAACACTTAGAAGGATGAAACCGACATGAGGAAACCCAAAATGGATTCCTATAGGACCTTCCCGAGCCTTAGGGTGACCTTCTGCACAATTCGCACTCCTGCGCGCACCAGCTTCGCAATTCGGAGAGTCGACGTGTCCGATCGCCGCAATTCACATTGCCTGCACCGTTATTTGCCGAGGGCTCGAGTAAACCACTTGTGACGATCGATCGCGGGTCAATATTTTGTGAAATTTGAATTTCGGCGCGTTTTGACCCGATTGTCGACGACGTCGTCCGAGCGACCCCGGATGACGAAACGGACTGCGCCAAGGCGTCCAGAACGTCGATTTTGCCCGGGGAGGACACCCATTTCGTCGCGTCGTCGTGCGCGAATAAATATTTTTAATTAATATCTATATATCTATATATATATTTAATATATATATTTATCTATATATTAGTTAACTTTTTTTCTTTCCTCTTTAATCCCTAGCCGTCTCATCAGCGCTCGAGCTGTCTCCCGCAGCTCTCCCGTTCGCGCGTCTGGCCCTTTCCCTTTCTCGGTCTCGAGCCGTGCGAGCTCTTCCTCCTCCACGCGAGGGAAGCGTTGACCTCGTTCGTCCTTCCCTATTCTTCTTCTGCCCGCGGCCTTCCTTCCCGATGCCGCGCCAGTCCCTCGCGCCGTGGGTTTTCCTCTCTCGACCTCTTGACTCTGGGATACTTGTTCCCTGGTACAGTAGAGTA